GAGACGTGCAACATCTTCAACTATGGCGTTCCAGAGGACGCGCTGAGCGGGCCCTTCGGCCTGGCCAGCCTGTGCAAGGGCGTAGCCACGCTCGCGCTGAGGCTCGGCAGGAGGATGAGGATGAGGAGGAGGAGGAGGAGGAGGGAGGAGGAGGAGGAGGAGGAGGAGGAGGAGGAGGAGGAGGGGGAATGAGCAGAAGGAGGAGGAGGAGGAGGAGGAACGAGGGGGAGGAGGAGGAGGAGGAGGAAGGAAGGAGGAGGAGGAGGAGGAGGAGGAGGAGGAGGAGGAGAGGAGGAGGAGAGGAGGAGGAGGAGGAGGAGGAGGAGGAGGAGGAGGAGGAGGAGGAGACGAAGCAGTAGGAGAAGCGTGGCCACGCTCGCGCCGAGGCTCGGCATCGTGCTGGCCTTCCTGGGCCTGCTTGGCGCGGGCCTGTGCGAGCTCGAGGCCGTCTGCCCCTCCGCGGTGTCCTGCGCAGCCGGCTGGGGGGAGCTCGGAGGGCGAACCTTCGGCGGCGGAGTCCGGGCCCGGCTCTCGCCGATCAGAGAGTCGGAGGAGGAGGAGGAGGAGGGGGAAGGAGGAGGAGGAGGAGGAGGAGGGGGAGGAGGAGGGAGGAGGAGGGGGAGGAGGAGGAGGAGGAGGAGGAGGAGGAGGAGGAGGAGGAGGACCAGTGTAAACCAAAGAGTCATTAACGATGTTGGAATCAACCCTCCCTCCAAGCTCCCTCTTCACAGGCCCCCACAACGGTTCATTTCCATTGAGGGAACTGCCTCGTTGGAAGACACCCTCGAAGACCCTGAAGCATGCCAAAACATGGTTCTCGGGATTTCAACGCCACGGATCAACCTGACTGCAGCGGATCTCGGAATCGTGCCAGAATGTAATTTGTTGGTCAACGCCGCGAATCAACATAACTGTTGCACCCGCATGATCCTGAATCCTTCCAAAACGCCGTTTCTGGTAGCTGAGCATGGGAATCCGTGAAACTATTGCACTTGTTTTAAGCGAATGTGCGCGGCGCTAAGACGAGAGCCACATTTTGAAAAGGAGCCGCCCTCAATCCGTGAAGCTCTTGTGTTTTTTTAAACAAATGTGCGCGGCGCTAAGGCGAGAGCCACATTTTGAAGAGGAGCCGCGCTGAATCCGTGAAACTCTTGCAAATGTTTAAAACGAGTGTGCGCGGCGCTAAGGCGAGAGCCACATTTTGAAAAGGAACCGCCCTCAATCCGTGAAGCTCTTGCACATGTTTAAAACGAATGTGCGCGGCGCTAAGGCGAGAACCAAATTTCGAAAATGAACCGCCCTCAATCCGTGAAGCTCTTGCAAATATCTAAAAAGAATGCACGCGGCGCTAAGGCGAGAGCCACATCTTGAAAACCACCCGCCCTTCATCTGTGAAACGGCTGCCACTTTTTAACTTTCAGAATCATACATGGTGAGGACGTTTCAGGCGAAACGCCCGACCCGCCCTAAAAATTGGCTTCGGGGTGCGACAGGGAGAAGTTATCTCATAAGGAGTAGGAATGGAGGAGGAGGGGGAGGAAGAAGAAACATGATAATCATAATAATAGCAATAATAATAAGAAAACAGATAATAATAACAATATTCATATTAATACGAATACTGGGAATACTATTGCGAACAATGATAAGGCGAAGAAGACTAATAACCAGAAGAATAATAACAATGATACGTACGAGCAATAGGAATAATCCGATGAAGAACCGTAAGAATAATAATAATAAGTAGAAGAAGAAGAACAAGAGGAGGAGGAGGAGGAGGAGGTGGCTGGGGTAGGGCTCGGAGTCCGTCGAGCACGTGGCGAAGTTTGAGCCCTACCCCCGGCTCCCATCGTGTCGGGAGGATCGATGGTTTGCGGGGGCAGGGTTCGGATGGCGCCGCCCATGAGTCTCGATCCACTCGAGGGAAGGCGCGCACCGGCCATGGCCACGACCAAGGTGTCGCCACATCTGATCAGCATGGATCTTGGCCATGGTCCATGCCGCCCGTCGCCGATTCCTGAGGATGATCCACGAATTGACGGTGTCCGCGTTCAGTGTTGGTCAGGGTCCCTGTTTTATTCCTCTCCGCAGCCCTCTCCTCATCCCTCTCGCCACGGGTCTTGGGAAGCGGGTTCCTTGGCTTTTCGGCGTTTCCGTGCTCCCAGGGCCTCCTCCTCCTCATCATCCTCTTCCTCCTCCTGCTCCTCCTCCTCCACCTCCTCCTACTCCTCCTCCTCCTCCTCCTCCTTCCCCGCCTCCTCCTCCTCCTACTCCCCCTCCTCCTCCTCCTCCTCATCCTCCTCCTCGTCCTCCTCCTCGTCCTCATCGTCCTCCTCCGCCTCCTCCTCCTCCTCATCCTCTTCCTCCTGCTCCTCCTCGTCTTCTTCTTCCTTTTCCTCCAAGGACAGTACACCGACGACCTCACAGACTACGAACTTTTCAATAAGAGAGGGAATGATGCTTCCGACCAGGCGGCCAAGCAAGGAGCTGCTTCCCACCCTCAACCCACTCCTGCCGAGCTGCAGGAAGTTGAGCGCCTCACGTCTACAGCTCGCAAGGGATGTAAGCTCGCGTATTATTTGCTACATCTTTGGCCGAAGTTGGACCTAACGGATGTTCCCTGGGTCCGCACGTCTGAGTCAGCTGCTAAGGAGGCTGCTAATTCAGTTGCCCACCAGGGGCACTGGTGTCGAACCTTTTGGCGCTGCCAGGTTTGTTTGCAGTTCAAGCGTCAGCAGGCACGTCCGCCTGCAGGAAACTGTTCTGGTAGATTGCCCCAGGTTGCCCGTGGTTTCCAAGAGCGGGGCCACAGAGTGATCGGCCTAGAGTGCTCCAACGACACCATCTTGTATGTGTGCACTCAGTGCTACGGGTACACGTGTGGTGGTCAGTTCAAGAAGCTTCAGGCCGATTATTTGCCAGTAGTTAAAGGATCCCAGAGTAAGTACGCGGCTGCAGTGAAGAGATCGCTCGGCCGTGGACTCCACCCCAAGATCTCAGGGGTCATGTGTCAAGCGTTTAATCCCAATTATTTTGAGCAGGACGCGCTAGGCCAGCAATGTGTTCCTGTCGTCGAGCCGTCGTCGTCGTCGTCGGGCGGGGTGGGGCCTGATCCGCTTCCTGTTCGGAGTTCCTCCCCCATGGTCCCAAGGCCAATGGTGTCTTCGTCAGGGCCAGTCTTGGGGGGGAGGAGTGTTTTTTGGGGGGGGGGACCCTTTTGAAGGAGAGGAGGAGGCCACTCGGTTTCTTTTCGACCCTCCTGCCAGGCCCTCTCCCGCCAATGAGTTGGATAGGAGTCAGTGCGGGCAGCTGCGAGCAGTGCAGGAGTCTCTTCCCGAGGAAGATGTGGCTCCACTGGTGATGGCGGCTGCCCGCGTAAGGGATTCAGAGTCTAGTGACTCTGATTGACTGGTCCTGGGGTCGCCTTCCACAGCGTCGGCCGCCGCCCAGGTCTTTCTTTGCCAGACAAATCTGGCTCTCCCTGGTGGCACCTCCAGGGCACGATGCAGAGTTAAAAAAATCCTCGCCCTCCTCCTGCTCCTCCTCCTCTGCTTCCTCCTCCTCCTCCTCCTCCTCCTCCTCCTCCTCCTCCTCCTCCTCCTCCTCCTCCTCCTCCCCCTCCTCTGCCAGGAGCGCTCCCTGTTCGCCTACGTCCTGCACCACGTTTGGCTGGAGCTGGCCCGGGCGGCCGGCGGCCGGGAGGCGCTGGACGCCGCCCCGGCCAGCTGCTTCCCGGCCCTGTGTTTTGCACTGGCCCTTCAGGCCAGGAGGAACGGAGGGCGGGAGGGAGGGAGGGAGGGAAAGAGGAGGGCGGGAGGGGGGAGGGAGGGAGGGAGGGAGGGAGGGAAGGAAGGATGGAAGGAAGGAGGGAGGGAGAGAGGGAGGAGAATGGGACGGAGGAAAGGAGGGAGGGAGGGATTCGGGGAGGGAGGGCAGGCGGGAGGAGGGAGGGAGGGAGAGAGGGAGGGAAGGAAGGAGGGGAAGAAGGAGGGGGAGGGAGGGAGGGAGGGGGGGAGGGAGGGAGGGAAGGAGGGATGGAGGGAAGGATGGAGAAGGAGAGGAGGAGAGGAGGAGGGAGGAGGGAGGGAAAGGGAGGAGAGAAGGAGGGAGGTGGACCACCGCGACCAACAGCACGCTCACCAGCCGCCGCCGCCACCCTCCCGTCCCTTCTCCCGCTCCCTCCCCCTCCCTGCCTGGCCGCCTCTGCCGCAGCGCGCGCCTCGTGCCCGTCCCCCTGCCTCCCCTTTCCCCCTCCATCCCCCTCTCCCCCATCCCCCTTCCTCCCCGTTCCCCATTCCTCCCCCTTCCTCCTCCTCCTCCCCCTCCCCCCTCTCCCCCTCCCCCCTTCCCCCCCCTCCCCCTCCTCCACCTCCTCCTCCCGGGACACCCCCCTGACCTAGGACAACGCTGGCAAGCCGAGGAAAGACAACGCCCTCACCGAGGAAAAACCCAAATCGAGGAAAACGCGAAGCCGAGGAGCACCCGGAAGCACGCCCCGCGGCGCCTCTGTCTCTTTCTATCTCGTTTTCTCGCGCTCCCTCTCGTGTTTTTTTTTTTTTTTTTTTTTTTTTTTTCTCTCTCTCTCTCTCTCTCTAGCCCCTCCCCCTCCCCGGCCAGAAAGTCCAACGGCTCGAACATCGAGCCTTGGGACTTTATTGCCAGCGAGGGGGCCGCAGAGGTTCCAAGGCCTCGTTTCTCGAGCCCTTGGACTTTCTGGCTGGGGAGGAGACGCTGCGAGCTCTTACGTTGTATTTTCTGATCGGGGTGGGGCGCAAACGCGCGTCTGGGCAGTGCGTTCCCGCTCCTCATAAAAGGCGATTTGGGAGAAAGGGAGCGCCAATAGGAGCGCGACCGGACCGCCCAGGGACGCGTCTGCTCTGCATACCCGTAAGTTCCAAGGGCTCGATTATCGAGCCCTTGAACTTTCCGGCTGGGGAGGGAGCGCTGCATGCTCGTAAGTTCCAAGGGCTCGATTTTCGAGCACTTGGAGTTTCTGGCTGGGGAGGGGGTGTTGCATGCTCGTAAGTTCCAAGAGCTCGGTTTTCGATCCTTCGGATTTTTTCTGGCTGAGGAGGGGGCGCTGCGAGCTCGTAAGTTCCGAGGGCTCGATTTTCGAGCCCTTGGACTTTCTGGCTGGGGAGGGGGCGCAGTCGCGCGCCTGGGCAGTGCGGTCGCGCTCCTAATGCACGGCGCATCGTTTCTCAGAATGCAGATTTCGTTTAACAACTTCACTCTCATATCCAACCAACTATACTTTCACAGGCTTCTTTGATCGTTTAAGAACCCTGCTCTCTTATTCAACCAACCATACTTGCACAGGTTTCTTTCTGCAGTGCTTCTCGTCCGTCGGGTGCTTCTCCCCCGTCAGAGTGTGTGAGCTCGTAAGGTCCAAGGGTTCGATTTTCCAGCCCTGGGCCTTTCTGGCCAGGGAGGGCGCTGCGAGCTCGTAAGTTCCAAGGGCCCGATGTTCTTTCTGACCGGGGAGGGCGCTGCGAGCTCGTAAGTTTCAAAGGCTCGATGTTCGAGCCCTCGGACTTTCTGGCTAGGGCGGGGGCGCTGCGAACTCGTAAGTTCCAAGGGCTCGATGTTCGAGCCCTCGGACTTTCTGGCTAGGGCGGGGGCGCTGCGAACTCGTAAGTTCCAAGGGATCGATTTTCGAGCCCTTGGACTTTCTTGCTTGCGAGGGGGTGCTGCATGCTTCGAGGTTCCACGGGCGCAGACATAGACACAGGCACAGTCACATACATCGATGCATGCACAGACGCAGACACGGATACAGACACCCACGCCGACACAGACACACACACGGAGACACAGACACAGACACAGACACACACACAGACAGAGACACAGACACAGACACAGACACAGACACAGACACAGACACAGACACAGACACAGACACAGACACAGACACAGACACAGACACAGACACAGACACAGACACAGACACAGACACACGCACACGCACACGCACACGCACACGCACACGCACACGCACACGCACACGCACACGCACACGCACACGCACACGCACACGCACACGCACACGCACACGCACACGCACACGCACACGCACACGCACACGCACACGCACACGCACACGCACACGCACACGCACACGCACACGCACACGCACACGCACACGCACACGCACACGCACACGCACACGCACACGCACACGCACACGCACACGGACACGGACACGGACACGGACACGGACACGGACACGGACACGGACACAAACAAACAAACAAACAAACAAACAAACACACACACAACCACACACACACAACCACACACACAGGGGCGCTGCATGCTCGTATGTTCCAAGGGCTCGAGTCTCGAGCCCCTGGGGAGGGGGCGCTGCGAGCTCGTAAGTTCCAAGGGCTCTGCGGAGGAGGCGCAGACGCGCGCCTGGGCAGTCCGGTCGCGCTCCTCATGAACGGCGCTTTGTTTCTCAACATTCAGGCATATATCGTTAGGGACCCCGCTCTCAAGGCTAACCAACCATCCTGGCACAAATTGCTTTCTACAGTGCCTCCCGTCCGTTAGGTGATTCGCCCCCGTCAGAGCGCGACAAGCAGTGAATGGAGGTAAAGCGCTGTATAATGGAACCTGTGCAAACATGGTGGGTCATTCCGAAGTGTCGGATCCTTAATAAGACAAAGCTGTATTTTGAGAAGCGGCGCCTCGTGCGCCCCGCGCCTCGTGCGCCCCGGTCAGCGCCTCGCGGGCTCCGGTCAGCCGGCAGCGCACCTAGGCCCCTTGCCCGATAACCTGCGCCGCGCCCGCGCAATTGCGGGCGACGAGCTGCAAGCACGAGGTTTTGTTGATGGGCTGCAGATGCCTGCCGCTGGCGGCAGCGCGCGCTCGCGGCGGAGGCCGCGCGTTTGGATTGCAGGAGGAGCTCAGGGCGGCGAGGGCGGCGGGCGCTGCGAGCGCGCCCGCCCAGGCGAAGTGCGACGACCCCCCGCACAGCGAAGATGGCCGCTCGGACAGCGACGACGACTCGGGCGACTTCTCGACTGACGTCGCGAAGGAACAGGAGGAAGCGCCCGCGCCTGCGGCCGCGCCTGGCGACGACGACGCGGGCGACTCCTCGGACGACGACGCGGGCGACTCCTCGGCTGGCGGGGTGAAGGGGCAAGAGGAGGCGCAGGTGGCCGCGCCTGCGGCCGCGCCCGCGGACGCCAAACGGGGCCCGGAGGGGCCCGCGGGCGGCCCATGGCGAAGGCCGCCGTGCTCGAACGGGCGCGACGGCTGGCGACGCTCGAGGCCCTCCGGCAGGAGGCATCCAGGGGCAACGATAGGAGGGGACTGGCATTGGTGGGGTGCATCGACGTCCAATCGCCCATTGATCGCCGATATGGGCCCGATAGCCCCGACCTGCCCAGGATGGTGCGGATTCATTATCGGAGGCCTATCGCCGACCTATCGGCGATGCATTGCCGATTCCAGGTCGACGCGCCCCCCTCTGCGCCGGCCCCCCCCCCGTCG